TGGGGAAGTGAGTTTCCAGTCTCCCGAAAATTATTCCCCTCTTTATTCGTGTGGGGTGCCTTGGATTTCTTTCCAAGCCAGAACCCCAGTGTTTCTTTTCCGGAACTGGGAAAGGCCAATGCCCCTTTCTAGTTCTCTTGTAACCTTTATCCAATGCTGGTTGCTAATGGTTCCAGAGCTGCCCGCTGAATTTAGGTGTGTAGTAGGCCTGCCTCCACAGCCTCAAAACCACAGGAAGAAGTCTGTCTGGTGAGTGTTGATATAAGAGAGAGGGCAAATGGTATTCTCGGCCAGTGGATAGGCTGGACTGCCCGTTTTAGTGTTGGGGTTAGGTATTTAGGCAACGGTTTAAAATTATGGTATCTGGTAATATACAGGTTTTATCTAAAAACATAACAGCAGCCAGCGTGGCGGCACAGCCTGTCATCCCTCCTGAATTCAAAGCCAGCCTTAGCAACAGTGAGTTGCTAAGCAACTCAGTGAGATCTTCTCTGAATAAAAATACAAAATAGGGCTGGGGATGTGGCTCAGTGGTTGAGTGCCCTTGAGTTCAATCCCTAGAATTCAAATCAAGACAGGACAGGAGAGGACAACAAAACACACAACACAACACCAAATAGAACCAACCAAACAAAAACCCATAACAGCATCAACGCAGTAAGTTCATGAAGGTCAAACACCAGTTAACTGTTTTAAGTAACTTTAAGGAGAATAAAATGACCTAACAGAGCTCAGGAGCTATTGTGTTCACCTTTGTATGACCTATATCTGCCAATATATTAGAATTACCTGTCTCCCTGTTCTAGCTTTCCCTCTCTCTTCCTTATTTTTTCTTTTCTTATGTCCTTGTTTTTTTTATTCCCCTTTTCTTCTGTTCCTTTTTACTCTACCTTGTTTTCTTTCTCTTTGTTAGTGCCCCCTTGCACCACCTACAGTCCTGTCCCCCAATACTCATCTATTTTATCTATTCATAACTATTGGCTCCTGCTGTGCTTTGCCCCTCAAAGATTCATGTTCTGGAACCTGAATCCCAGTGTGGCAGTGTTGAGACAATAGGACCTTTAAGATGTGGGACCTACTGGAAGGTAATTAGGTCATGTGGGCTCTATCCTCTTGAATAGATTAATGCTATTTTTTTTGTACTGGGGATTGAACCTAGTGGCACTGAACCCTTTGAGACACATTCCCAGTCTTTTAAATTTTATTTTGAGACAGGGTCTCACTAAATTGCTTAGGGCCCAGCCAAGTTGCTGAAGCTGGCTTTGAACTGTTGATCCTCCTGCCTCAACATCCCAAACTGCTAGGATTACAGACATACACCACAATGCCTGGATTAATGCTGTGTTTTGAGGGTGGGTCAGGCCCCTGAAATGGATGAGTTTTTGAGAAAGTGGATTGTTAAAAAGGAATGTTGTGTGTTGGCTCCTTCTGCCTCCTCATGTTGTGATGTAGCAAGGAGGCCCTTACCAGGACCCAGGCATAATGCTGTTAGGACCCATCAAAACTGTGAGCCTAATAAGCTTATCTGCTTTATAAATTACCTAGTTTCAGTTATTTAGTTATAGCAACACAAAATTGACTAAAACAGCTCACTGAATGCAGAATTACCAGTTTTCCACAAATGTCCTCTGGGTCTAATAAGAGAGCTTCCCCCCATATTTCCTACAGCTACCTCTTATAGTCCTATTTCTGAAAACTACAAAATACAAATTCTTGCCTCTTCTCTCCCCAAAGATGGTAGAGACAACAACACAAATGCTTCTAATACAGCTCTTTGAGACTGCCCTTCATGTTCAAGTTTCTTTTAGTGCTGTTCATCTGTTAGAACCTAGTGATTTATGATTACAGTTTCTGACATAAATATATTCTTTTCCAATAACTATAGTAGTGACTGAACTCAGTGCTATTCTTTCCAATAGATTGTACCCTCACCAGTTTCTTCTGTGGGTTTCTACAAACTTCCTAGTAAATTGTTTGTTTCTCCAGATCTCCTTTGAGTTTATGCCTCCTTTGCATACAGTGTCCCAGATTCACTGACCTTTCTTCTGTTGCTTATATTACTCCAATGACTCTGGCCCCACAACTTTCTGCCCCTCCCTGACTTATCATTACCTATCTGGTCAACACTAGAACAAACCTGAAGGGGACACTATGGGTAATTTGGAATCCACAGCAAACCTAAAAAGGGTAGCATGGTTGTAATGCTCCAAACTGCTCTTCATTGGGTCTTTAAGGGTGTAAAAGACTAGAAAAATTCTTTTGTATATAACAGGTATTCAAAACTACTAGATGAATTCAATGTACTATCATATAGAAGATGATAAATAAAATTCAGTCTGTCATGTCTTTGGTAATTTTAGGAAACCTAATCTTGTAGTAGTCAAGAGCATCTTCTTATTGCAGAAGCCTCTCTAAATTTGAGGACAGCTAAGATCAGAAACATGAGTTTCCCCTATAAAGACTGTAAATAGCTTCCAAGAATTATAGTGTATCTTAGCAAGACTAAAGGTAAAAGGAAAGAGCTATTATTCAATAAACACCTTATTTTACTTTAAAAATAGGAATGTTTCTAATCCTAGAGATTTTGTAATAGTTTCCTTTAGGACTGTTGAGAAATACTTTTCTCAATTGTTTCAAATGTTTTAAAATATTTCTCAATTATAGTAAATCATAAAACAAGTATTAGTGTGAACATTTTTAAAAAACTATCAGTTGATAATATGGCATTGAAAGCAAATATATATATATATTTAAACAAATATATATATATTTGTGCTCCAAATACACAAAAACTCAGTTTATGGTCTTACAACGTATGCATAAAGATTCATCTTCCTATTGTACAAGGCATAAAAATGATTTTGGTGGTTTTCCTTTCTCAAATATAATGCAAGAATGAAAAGTGATTAATTAATATTGTTAACAAAGGATTTAAAGAGATAGATCACCTTTTTCTTGATATTTTTAGTGATGATGATTACTAGAAAGTCAAGAAACCAGAGGTTTAGGCAGTTTGATGGTGGTATGAATTTGAATGTGCTGGGCCTGCCCTACTATGAAATTCTCAAATTAGGCATGGGAATTTATTGCAAGTCCATTCAGAAGTCTAAAGAAAAAAGTTTGGATTATTCATCATCTTCAAGCATTGGTATCCTGAGAGCCCTAGATTCTCAATAGTGTAAGGTATATTACAGGGGATTCTTTTCAGAGGTAGGGTAGTAATTTAAACTTTCAATTTAGATCAGATTACTAGATTATATTTACTTTAATAATTATCTTACTCTAATTATAATACACTTTTTTAAGGCTGAAAAAATTTTGTATATGATTATTACTGTTTATTTTTATTTTTGTTGTGCTGGGGATTAAACCCAGGGCCTTGTGCATATGAGGCAAGCACTCTATCAGTTGAGCTATATTGCCAGCCCCACTTTTTTATTTTTAGAGAAAGGGTCTCAATAAGTTGCTCAGGCTGGTCTTGAGCTTGTAATCCCCCTGCTTCAGCCTCCTGAGTCACCAGGATTATAGCCACATACCATCATGCTGGCTACTATTATTTTCTCTAGGGATGACTCCTGTTGCTATTGCAGCCTCCATAGGTGTCTCTTTAGCTTCCTTAAATTCATAATCACACATTGTCAAGGCTGGAAGATCTTAATAGTGATTGATTTAGACAGCAATATCCTTTAGAACATTCTACTATGATAAAAATGATAATAAAAATAATTTAAAAATCTATGTTTGTGCTGTTGAGTATAGTAGCTATTACCACTGAGTATCCTGTATTTAAAATTCTTGGAACCAGATGGATTTTTTAAAAAAAATATATTTGCATGTAGGTAACGTGTTGTTTGGGGATGTGATTCAAGTCTAAACATAACATAAAATTCAGTTACATTTCACATATACTTTATATACATAGCCTGAAGGTAACTTTATACAATATTTTAAATAATTTTGTGCAGAAAATAAAGTTTGTATGTAGCAATTAAAGGCTTGGAAGGGTCTTTTTCCCTTGGGGATGTTGAATAAACAATGTGTTTATGCCTGCATTTTCATTGCCATCCCAACACATAAAATCAGGTGTGCAATTTTCTACTTGTGGGGTCATGCTGGTGTTCAAAAAGTTTTAGATTCTGGATATTCAACCTCAAATGTGGCTAATGTCATTGAGAAATGGCACTTTCTATTGTACTTGAGTTAAAGTTTAAATTTATATAGCTACATGTAGATACTATCTACCATATTGAATAATACAATTCTAGACTAACTTATTCCCATCTCCCTCAGTGAACAATGAACTGAGATCAAGAAATTATTTATTCAATCCCCTGTTCTGAAAAGGGGTGAGAAGTGATTTATCCATAGTTACAGGTCCCTAACCCCACTTCCTAGTAGTTTCTGTCGATTACCTCCTTTTTTCCCCACACCTTGATGTTTCCCCTCAGCCTTCTGTATTTTTTGATGGCTTTCTATTTTTTATCACTTTCATAAAATGATCATACTTCCTACTTCAAAGTAAAGAAGGGATTATTATTTAGGCCATTATACCAGTTTTTATCTACTTTAACTTGTCAAAATATAGCTGGTGGGTCTCTGTTATTATCTAGGGGAAATGAATTCAGAGAAAAATGTGAATGAAAAATGAATTCAGAGAAAAATTGCCTAATGTCATACACTGAATGGGTAAGTAAAAGGGAACTAGAATAGAGAGGAATTCACTTTTAACTAGGAAATATCAGTCTTGGGCTACAAGTGCACAGTGTTGTCAGCAGGCAAGGCTTTGAAATAACTCAATTCCTCCCCTAAACTGAACTTAGAAATAAACGTATATTTTATACTGATATATTCTCTGGGTCCAGAGAAGCTTTTTAAATGATGATTGAAGCTTTGCCCACATTAAGGAAATTTATAAGGTATCTAAGGTAACATTCTCTGTAACTAATTATGCCTGACCATCTAAATAACTTTTGTTACTTCCACTTTTGTTACTTCTATTATTAGAGCTTATTTGCTATATGAATTCTTTGATGTCTAATAAGAATTGAACTTTCATGGAAGGGCCTTCCACATTCATCACACTGAATAATACTACTAAAACCTTTCCCACAGTCTTTACATTTATAGGGTTTTACTCCAAGGTATGATGTCCCATAAAATGTGAGAGTTGAATGAAGGTTTTTCCACATTCATCATACTTATAGGGCTTCTCTCCAGTGTGAATTCTCCTGTGTTTACTAAGAGCTGAGCTTTGACTAAAACTTTTTCCATTCATCACATTTATATTGTCTTCTTTCCCTTTGTCGACAGTTTAACCTACCCTCATTTTCAATAGCATCTTTGGATTCAGGTTGCTGAGGAAGATCTTTGCTAAATCTGTCATTTATTTCCCCAAGGAATTCCATATCTTTGGGCATATCATCTTTCTGGGATAATTCTTCATTCTCAGTCTTGGTTTTGTCACCTGTAACAAATAGTACACAAACAGAACCTAGTCTAAGTTTGAAAAACAAAAGCCTATGGTAGAAAATATGTAAATATTATGAATGTATTACAAAATAATGAGAAGTCATAACACATATAGCACATATTTAGTACCATTTTGGTTTTGGTACTATCATATTATATAGTTATAATCTAAGAAAGAATTAAAATAAGCCAGTAAGGAAGACAGCAGCAGCATAAGTGATTTGAGAGTAGATTGAGAGAGAAAGGCATAAATGTTGATCAAGTGACTACTTGAAGATCCTTCCCAAAGGTAGAGTGGTAAATGTTTATGTGTGGGACTACAAATGTGCCAAGGATAATGAAGGGAGACAGACTGGAGAATAGAGGTGATGAGTGGTAAAATTTCCATTGAAACATGTAGGGCCTGAAACAGGTGGTAAGTGAGAGAAAAGGTGAGTAATAGTGACTGGAGAGGAAAATAAAATGTGGGGTATGAGAGGAATATAGTGAAAATATAAGAATATAATGAATCCTCCAAGAAAGAGCATGTATAGAGGATAATTAGTTGGAAACAGAGTGAAAAGCATGCAGGTCAGGGTATATAAAAGGAAAATAAGCAGGAAGTAGTGGCAGATGGTTTAAAGTATGTGCTGGGTTGACTTTTTCCTGAAACTGATATCTTCACTATTATCTTCTCCTGCCTAAATCCTAGCTTGATAGTTTCTAACTTTATTGTGCATCAGACTTACTTGAAGTGCTTATAAAAACGCAGACTACTGAGATTCTCCTACCCACTAGCTTCTGAATTGGTAGTCTAGATAGAACCCAAGAATTTGCATTTTTTAGTAAGTTTCCTGCAAAGATGCATACTGATGCTCCAGGGATCACACTTTGAGAAACACTGCCCTTCCCGTTATTCAAGGGCCATCACAAATACTGTCTCTTTTGGGAAGTCTTCCCTAATCTCCCCAAGTAGATGTGTTGTCTTTCTTTTCTTAATCCTCATGTTCTCAACCCCAGACTGAGTGTAGAACTTGACACACAGCAAGTATCAAATAAATATTTGAGTTGAATTTTTAAATAAAATGGTTGTGTTGATGATTTGGAGGGTAGTAGCACCTACTTTGTTATGCTGAACCACTATCTCCCCAACTCACAGCCAGGACCATCTTCCAGTGTTATTGTGGCACATGTAATAACAAGAGTCCTTATCAGATGATTCCAGATAGGTTCCAGCTTTGCTGGTCACTGAGATGAAGATAAGTCCACAAATATTAATTGATAACCATGTATATTAGCTCTCTGACAGTCTATGGGGAAAAGAACAGGGTTGACACTCTGGTTGATACATTGTATCAGGGTTGATAAATTGCTGACTGCAAACTGGTACAAATACCCTGTATGGAGAGTCCTCAAAAAATTAGGAATGGAACTACCCAACTATCCAAATCCCTGCTTATCCAAAAAATTAAAAATCAGCATATTACAGTGACACAACCACATCAATGTGTACAGTAGCTCAATTCACAACAGCTGAGCTATGGAACCAACCTAGATGCTCTTCAATAGATGAATGGATAAAGAAATTGTGGTATATATATACAATGGAATATTACTCAGCAACAAAGAAGAATGCATTTATGACATTTGCAAATAAATGGATGGACCCATGCTAAGTGAAATAAGCAAGTCTCAAAAAACCAGTTTGAATGTTTTTCCTGGTTATGTGGAAGCTAACCGACAATAAGGGGGAAAAGGGAAAGAAAAGATATTCAGTAGATTAAACAAAGGGGCATAAAGGGAAGGGAGGAGGTAAAGAAAAAAGAGTGGAATAGATCCAAAATAATTATCCTATGTACTCATATGAATACACCACAGTGAATCCCATCATGCTGTACACCCATAAGAATGGAGTCCTAACTAGAATAAGATATATTACATGCTTATACAATTATATCAAAATGGATTCTACTGTCATGTATAACTAAAAAGAACCAATAAAAAGGACAATATTGAATTTTTTAATTTTTTAAACTATTTTTTAGTTCTAGTTGGACACAACACCTTTATTTCACTTATTTATTTTTATGTGGAGCTGAGGATGGACCCCAGGGTCTCGCACATGTGAGGTAAGCGCTCTACCACTGAGCCACGACTCCAGCCACTAGTGTTGAATATTGAGTGATATAAAACTGGAACAGAGTTGAGTTTGACATATCTTTACACTAATAGAAAAAGTCAGTGTTACAGCATATTCAGAAAAGATCCCATTTATTTTTTGGTAGTGGGGATTGAATTGAAAGGTGCTTAGCCATTGAACTACATCCCTAACCCCTTTGATGTTTTTTTATTAAAGACAGGCCCTAAATTGCTTAGGGCCTTGTAAGTTGTTAAGGCTGGCTTTGAACTCTCAATCCTTGAAATACTTTAAAATGTGTTACAAAAAATTATTAAGATACTTAGGTATCCAAGTTCTCTGTCATTTATAAAGATCATTCTATATAAAATGGCTATTATTGTAATTCTCAGTTATTTATACATGGAAATGACTCCTACTACCCTAGCCAACAGCCAGTAGTAATACTGTCTTGTTGATATGTATACAATAAATAAAGAAATAAAATAATACTGCATTAAAGCACTGTAGTATTCTTTCTATTCAACAGTAAATTTATTTTTAAAAGATACTGGCTTTTTGGTACAATATCATAATGGTTTTAAAAAACTGGTCTGGGCTAGTAAGCATGAGACCCAGGTTCTGATTCTAATCTCAGTTCTTCCTGTAACTACTTATGGAAACTTGGACAAGCCACTATGGGTAAAAGCCATTGTAAAATGAGGACATGGCATAAAAAAGGATGAATTTATGTTATTATCAAGAAAGTGGTTGGAACTGGAGAACATCATACTAAGTGAAATAAGCCAGACTCAGAAAAAGTGTCATGTGTTTTCTCTTGTATGTGAAAGCTAGAGAGAAGGAGAGAAACAAGATCTTGTGAAAATAACAGGGAGAAATTAGGATCAGGAGGAGGGAAGACAGGAGGGAAAAGGGAAGTAGTGGGGAATGATATATACCAAATTATGCTATGTGCAGGTATACTACAGTGAATATATTATAATTATAGTGTACCAGTAAAAGATTAATAAAGTGAGGTCTTGGACCAGACATTACATACTTTTAAAAAAGTTGAAAGGCACTTCTTGAAATATATGTGCCTTGATTTTTTGTGGGATTTTTTCTTTTGTTTTTTTGCTTGTCTTTTTTTTTTTTTTGGTGGAAAGTGTGGAACACAAAAATTGTGGAAGGTTACTCGTGGTATAACTTGGAAAAAAGTCACACGTGTAATGTTCAATATAGACAAAATGGACTTCCTTAAGAATTCTCAGGTTTCACATAAGACCTGGATTTCGTGAAGCCTCATATTTTAATTATATAGTATTCCCTTGAAAGGTGACTTTGGTAGCAGCATATGTGCAGGCTTCTTCAATTTTGTGTTTTTCTGGATTTATGCTATCAGAAAGCAGAATGAAAACAGTCCAGAAGTATTAATGGAAAAGCAGAAGGAAGGATCATCTAGAATTTGAAGTGTTGAATAGATGAGCAATACTGTGTTCTACATGGTAGAATTTAATATGTTGACATGTAACACTATTATAATGAACTCTGTTATGAACAAATCCTGTTTCCTCCAAAATTCTATGCCTCTTCAGAGAAAAGAGGCAAAGACTCAACATAGATAAGCTTTGTAAGGTAGTCTGTACTTTTTAGCTTCTGTTCCCCTCCCTAACTACTCTTGCTAAGGGTATTAATGTCTAAATGCCAAATTCTAAGGAATATTTACTGGTCTTTATCTTGTGTCCTATTAGTAGCATTAGCTCCTTCTGATCTCTCCTCCTGCCTGAAACTCCACCTGTGGCTTCAAGTGATAACATTCTTTTCTGCTTCTTTTACCTCTGTTCTTTCTCTTTCACAGAATCCTTCCTCCACTTGAACTTTAAACAGTGGCATGCCTTAGGATTTTGTATGCAGTTCTCTTCTGTTTTTACATTATGCCTTCTTTTTCCTCTACACCCATTTACTGGGGAGTAACTGCCAAATCTCTTTCTATACCTTTGTGCTAAATTCAGAATCATATTTTAAGCTACATGGCTCACTGGATTTTATGTACATTAATGTTTAACAGGCCACAGTTCACATAAAAATTGAATTTACTACCTTTAACTTTTCTTCACACAAAATGGACATCTCTCTCTTAATTTTCCTCTCAACTACTGGCACTGTTTTTGACCCACAGGACCAAGTTACAAGCTTGGATAGTATTAAAACTATCCCCTCATATCTAATCACATCTGTTCATTATACTTCATAAATATCTTTTGAATTTTTGGCTTCTTTTCCAGCCTTATTACTACTCTGGTCCATCATTATCTATATTTGAGAGTGGTTCTTCCCCCATCCACTTCATGTTTATGTTTTTTCTTCCTACTGTAGTTCTATGACATAATTACAGACTTGGAAGATAGGAAAAAAGAAAATAAGTCATCTATTATTTTATCAAAATAAAATAAAAACTTGATACAACCACTGCCTACATACTTCCAATCTTTTTCTGTTATACAGGAACTTTAAAAAAATCTTTACTTCTTAAAATAGATTCTTATCATCTATGTTACCTACTTTTGTATTTAAAAGCATAAAATAGACCTCCTCCATCTATAGAGAAAGGGTAAGAGGCACTGAAACGGATAGGTCTTGGGTAACTGGGACTTAAAATTTACTTGTTTTTTAGTTTAGCCTGTGGATACACTAGACAACTGGCTTGCAATTAGTGAGTTGGGATGGTGACTAAACCCATTTAACTCACTAAGCCAATTTAAAACAACTCTATTGAACTAATAAATCCTTGTTCTCTTTTCCTTACATCTTTTAGCATGGTGTTATGTTGTAGACTGAGTTGTGTCCCCTCAAAAATTCATACATTGAAGCCCCAACCCTTAATGTGACTTCATTTGAGAAAGGGGCCTTTAATAAGGTAATTAAGGTTAAATGAAATCATATGATAGGACTGTAACCCAACAAGACTGGTGTCCTTGTAAAAAGAAGAGATACCAGGAATGGTGTACAATAGAGAAAAGGCCAACTGAAGACACAGTGAGAAGTCTGCAAGTCAAAGAGAGAGGCATCATCAGAAATTAATGCTGATCTTGGACTTACAGCCTCCAAAACTATGAGACAATAAATTTTTGTCATTTAAACCACCCGGTCTATGGTATTTTTTTTTTTAAACGGCAGCTCTAGCTGATTAATTAGAAGAACCATGAATTCTCTTGTCCCAAAATGAAAACTTAAGAGAATTTGGAATTAGAATTATTAGATAACAACAGATAGAAGTGTAAGCTATTATTAACTTGAATGAGTATTTAAACTCTATATTCTACCCATTGGGTCAACTAGCAGCTTTTATATGTATAATGAAAAACTGAAATAATTCATTCTGTTTTGGGACGAGGGTAAAAAGAGGATAAAATTCCCCATGGTGAGGTAGAAGACAAAAGGGAAATCTTTAAAAGGAAAGGATAAAAATGAGAAAGTTGCACTCTGCTATTGTTTGTCCTCTTTGGAATTAATGTTGGGGTTTAATCCCCATTATGAGGTATGCATAGTGTTTAGAGATGAAATCTTTGAAAGGTGATTAGGATTAAATGAGTTCATCAGAGTGGAGTCTTCATGATTGAATACCAGTAGCTTTATGAACAGAGGGAGAGAACCCAGATGATACACACATGTTCCTTGTCCATTGACATGTGATATCTTGTGTTACCTTGGGACTCTGCCAGTAAGAAGGCACTCACTAGGTGCAGCCCTAGACCCTGACCAGAACTGAGTGCAAAAATAAACTTCTTATGTTGATTACATATCTAGCCTATGGTATTGCTAGCAATCGAAAATGGACTAAGTTACCTCAAACCTAAGAATCCATCTCTTCTCTCATATACAAAAAAATGGCTCCTTACCATTCCTATGTAGCTTCCCAGGTTTGAGTTCTAGCTGGGTCTTCTTGGGATGAAGCTGGACAGTCTGCAATTCACTTGGCATTCCAAAGGGGGCCAACCTGTCCAAGAGTATGTCCTGTCTTTCTGAATTCGCTTGGACCTGGGAACAATGAAGTATGATTAGGCTTATCATAGATAGATAGATTTTGTGACAACTGAAAAAACTTCAAATAAAGGGTCTTATAAAGCATCTGCAGGGGCTAGGATCATAGAAAACTGGTCAAATTTTTATTATTGGGAAAAAGGGTAATCTCCCTAGTCCAAGAAAAATGAAAAAAAAAATCCTGTCTTCTCCCATTGATCACACAGAAGTCCAGGATCATAATTTTGGGATTTGGATGATGTCTAAAATATCACCTAGCCCAACTATAGCAATAGGGGCATTTCTTCTATAACCATGCTATTCAGTATAGTAGCCACTAGCAAAATGTGCTTGAGTAAAGTTGAGTATAAATGGAGATAGACTAAGTATAAAATACATACCAAATTTCAAAAACAATACTAAAAAATCTAAAATACCATGTCTTACATTGATTACATACTTTGAGTTAAATAAAACATTTAATTTTTCCTGTTTTTATTTTTAAATAAAGTTATTATTAAATAATTCTGTGCCTATTAGGAAATTTTAAATTATATATCTGGCTCACATTAGAGTTGTTGGACAGTGCTGTTCTACAATGTCCTTAACATCTACTTGAATCTACTTCAATACTTCTGTGGAAAGGGAGTTTCTCTCCCAATTTAGTTATAGGTAGTTTTAAATGTTAGAAAAATCTTGTTTCTTTCAGATGCCTATTTGCCTTCCTATAACTTCTCACTGATCCTAGCCTTCTAAACTAAAACAGAATCCGTCTAGTGTTGTCTTTTCTTTTTACTCAGTTATATTTTAGCTATATGACATAGTTATGTCCCTCACTAAGTCTTGTTCTTTTCTAGGGTACACATTTTGAATTATGTTCAGGTATTTCTTTCATAAGACTTTTTTTTGACTTGGTCTGTATACACTGATCAGTCTAATGACTGTCTCATCACACCTGCTTTTGGGGCTCATCAAGCTCTCTTTCCAAATCCTCCAGCACAGTTACTGCCTCCTCTCCAGTCTCTGGATGGTGTGCCTGCACCCATTCTTGCAGGTCTGTAGGAAGAATGCTCAGGAACTGTTCTAGCACCAACAAGTCTAAAATCTGCTCCTTGGTGTGACATTCTGGCCTTAACCACTGGTGGCAGAGCCTCCAAAGCTGGGTAAGAGCTTCACAGAGTCCAGGTGCACCCTGATAGCAGAGCTTTCTGAAGTGCTGTCTGAAGAGTTCTCTCCTACAATGACTAAACTTCTGTGAGATGGAGTCCTGTTCCCAATAATGGTTCTCTGCTTTAATCACAGGTCCTTTTTGTTCTTTAGGTTCCAGGGCTAAAGCCATTTTGTACTTTATCAGGACATTAATACTTTATCTGGGATTGATTCAAGGACAATCTCTTAGGATTTTGCTTCAAAGACACTCCCAAGGCATAAAAAATTGTTACCATAGAGAAATGACAAAAGCTGTTGCAATGATAAATACACCAGAGCTGAGTCAGAAAAAAAATGTCTTATAAGTGGCTATAAAAAAACAGAAAAAGAGTGACAGGATTTGAATGTGTGCTCTACCATGCAATTTAGAGAAAATTAGTTACCTAGATTAGAGTTTAACTAGAGGTACATTTCACATGTATGTAAAATGATGCTGCTCACTGAGTTAATGTATGGAGTAAATGACAAAGGTTTGCCCTGGCAGGGCAGCTTGTAATCATGGAAGTACACTAAGTATTAACAGTTTTGTTAAAAGGCTTTTCCATTCCACATCTAAGATGCATGGGTTTACTTGTGTCCCCAGGATTGGTTGTGGAGGTTATGTGCCAACCCAGGAATGGGGTCTAACGGATGTCTCCACGAGAGGAACCCGCAACCTGTGTCATTCCACCCCAGGACCGCCTGGAGGGTCGCCCTAAATCCTCAATTGTAGATCTTTTGGGGATGGGGGCAGGACAATGGCAGTGCATAGCGCCCACGACAGGGAGTTGTGGGAAGGGGAATGCTGCTGACTACAGCTGTGCTATTCCTTACTCTTTTCTACCTGGGAGTCTGGAAATACTCACCTTGCATGTGGACAGGAACAAGGGAAGCAGCTGACACCCCTAAACCGCCTGAACAAAGGCTACATTCAGACTAGTTAAGGACCCGTCGCGACAATCAGGTATTTCTGGATCGCTCTAGGAAGCCTTGCCTTGGTGGTAGCTTCACAGCTTCTCTCCTCCGCGCTAGCCTGTGGAGCACCTGTTTCAGTACCTCTATTGATGGGCCTGCGGGGCCACAGGCACGTTTGGTATTTAAAAACAAAACAATACCCCAAACCAACTTTTTCTCCCTCTAGAGAATTTTTCGGTTTAGTTATTAAGTAATGTAAATAACTAGTGCATTCACATAAATTTATTAAAAAGAATAAATGTCCCTTGGCATATAGTTTTGACAACAAATATTTCTCAAGTCTTGTACATCTTTCCATAGACACATATTACACTCGCCATGTACCTGCTACACAAATTGTAACATATCTATACCTTGTTTATTTTTCCTCCTACCAGGTGACCTTGAATATGAAGGTACTCCTGAATCTTGCTTTAAATTTTTTTTTAAACTCTATAGTATTCAATTGTTTATGTACCATAATTTATTAATAGCTACGTCATTGGTGGTTACATAGATTGCTTCTGATTTTTCTTTTTCAAATGCTGCTGTAATAAATTATTGTGAATATACATCATTTCCTGTGCATAAAAACATATTCACTTAGAGAATTACTAGATCATAGAGTAGGGATATACTTTGGTAAGTGCCAAGTCAGCAATCACAGAACCCACTGGTGATGTTGTTTTTCACCTATACTTGTCAACATAATGTTATATTTTGATCTTTGCCTAACTGATGGGCAAAATATACTGTCTTCATTTTGTCCTCCTTTTCCCCCTTCTTTCCACAAATACTGATTATTCACCTTCTATGCCAGGCACTATTCCAGAAACTGGAACTATACTTTTGAGCAAAACATTGTCCTTGTTTTCATTGAATTTGTAGCCTGTTGGAGTCACAATGAGGCAAATTGCCAGAGTGACTCTATCTTGTGCAAATATTTTGTGGGAAGTAGCACATGGGGAGAAGTTTACATTAGGTTAAAGAAAGTTATGAATAGAGAGAGAGAATATATGCTGCACATAGCAAATAGTTTTCTGAATTCTGCAAACAAACATTCCGAGAAGTTAGAACAATGTCCCAGGGAGGAAGTCATCAGTTAAAAATATTAACATATTGTACTGATAATAATAGAGGTTCTCCTTGCTAGAACTTGCTTATGATAGTAAAAGGATGAGGAGCAAAACTCAAAGGAGATTGGCTCACTCATGGTTTAAATGACTACATAAGTTAGTTTTTTTTAATTTGTTCTTTTTTTTAAATATACAACAGTAGAGAATATTTGGATATACTATACATACATGGAGTGTAAATTCCCATTCTTTTATAAATTAGTTTTTTTTTCATTGCCATGGCAATCCATGAGGTAGTTTATCTTTGTGTGAATACCATGACAATATTTGAGTGTGTATGTGAGATGAAAGGTAGGAAAGAAACAAGAAAAATGGTGTATTAGATGGTGGATGTTAGTTCTAAGAAGAAAATAAAGGAACTAGGGAATTTTAGGGTGAGATTGAAGTAATGTAATCTAAACAAGATGCTCACAGATGACTTCATTTAGCAAAGACAGAAGGAGCTTACAGAACAGGCCATCATTTATAAAGATGTTTCATAGAGAAAGTTAGCAAACTCAAAAGTCTGGAGTGTATTTGAAGAATTTTATTTTATTATTTTTTTTTCGATTTTTTTTATTGATTGTTCAAAACATTACAGAGCTCATGATATATCATCTTTCATACATTTGACTCAATTGGGTTTTGAACTCCCCA